CAAGGACATATTCCACAAATGGGAAACAAAGAATCCTGGGTTTTTCCAATATGAGGACTGCAAGCTGTAGTTTCATTATGTATCTGAGAAATATATATGCCCAAAAGGAAACAGCACCATGGAGTTGTAAGCTTCTGGGGAGGCAGATTTAGCCTTTGCCTTGTCCAGGGACGGGGGGGGTGTCTCCAAGATAAAGAAAGCAACAACCTTACCGTTTGGTTGCTATAAATGAACTGAAAAATGACCAGCACTTTCGTAGCTGTATGCAGTGATGCCATTAAGCGTGATTTATATAACCTATCTCCCACCAAAGTGAGATAAGCGGCTTCTGTATCCTTACAGAGATAACAGTTACTTCTTTTCACAGAATTATCTCTCTTGAAAGTTTGAAGTGTTCAGAGTTGATCGCCTCTATCTGATGCTGCCTGTTAAGAGTTAAACGTTCAAGCGTAGTATAAGATTAGGAGTGATAACCAGTTATAAATTCTTTATGTCTCCAAAGACTGTCACTGTTGCAGGGGCATCGCTTATTCAAACAAGGGCACAAATTAACATTAAAGAGGCATGCCAATATATAGGTTGTTTATTTTTATATTTTTTGGAACACAATGTCCTATATACAAGTGGATAAAAATATGTTATTAACGTATTTCACTCAGGTGAATAAATAAACATTTTCTTTGAGCGTTCATTGTAAATAACGAAGAATCTTTTTCAAGAATTCACTAAAAGAAAATCATATTCATATTTTTAGAGTTTAATTAAAGGTAACAATACATACCAATACTATTCAAGGTGGAGATCAGATGGCAAAATTCTGATGCATATGATCACAGGCGTGATACAGAACATGGAAATGACATGTTCAGCAGTGGAATGTTTTCTCTCACTAAGTTCTGCTTCTTTTATAGATCTAGGGTGGCTCAAAGAAATTCAGATCAAAGCTGCTCATGTGATAACAATGACAAAGACACCTGACTTTCTGCTTAGAATGGAGTCTCTCTTGAATGATATACATTTAACTCTACCCATGGTTTCTGCTATCATTTCTAAACTAATCCTCACAAAACGTGTAGACTTCATAGTATCCCTGTAATGGTTCTTAAGAAATGTACCCCTGAAATGTCTACTGTTGTCTCTAAATGCTACAATAAATGCCTTGCTGTTTCTTGCTTTCCTGATTGTTGTAAATCCTATTCTGTAGTTCCATTCTTTGAGAACTCAGGTGAACTCTATGATCCTTATATTGACCTAATAGCCTTCTACCTTTGGGTGGCAAAGTACTAGATGCTCTAATTAACTCTGAATTGATTAATCATCTCACATTGTAGGGTCTTTTTTTCAGATAAGCTATATGGGTTTCACTTCTCTAGGTCAACAGCTGATATGTTAATTATTTCTATCAAGCTTTAGATAATAATGGTGAATCTAGGGCTTTTGCTTTTGAAATCTGGAAGGCAATTGACGAGGTTTGGCATTCTGCACTTCTTCACAAGTGGAAAGGTTAGGGTATTCCTGGACAAATTTTTGAACAAATTCCGTCTTTCTTATCAAATCATGAAATGAAATTTGTCTTTAATGGCCACTCTTCTAGATCTTTTTACATAAATACAGTTTTTCCCCAGTGCTCTATCCTGGGGCGTACATTGTTTCTAATTTTCATAAATGACCTTCCTAATTTCATTAGATGTCAACTCGGTATCTGTGCTGATGACATAACTATTTACTCCTGTCTTAAATCTGATCCTTTCAATAAGGCTGAATTTGCAGCTCATCTCAAAAATTACCTACAATCCATTATTAACTAGGGCAATGAGTAACCTGTTAATTTCAATGCTTCAAAAACGAAACGGCTCTCTTTTAGTCATGGCAGAGAACCCCTTCTGCCTTCCATCAATATGGCTGATGCTAACCACCAAGAGAGTGATTGATTGCATCTTCTTGGACTAACGTTTTCCGTTGACAATAACAACAAAAATGAGCATAACAGCCTGAATCTAAGCATTGTAAGTAGCATGGGGGAGTAATGGATAGCAGCTTGAACTGAGGAATCGGAGAGCTGAGTTCCAATTCCAGTCGGATCCATTGCATTCACTTACGTGTTTATATCCTTGGGAAAGGCATGAATCCTCTTCTCTCCCCAGCTATGGTTAAATAGCAGAACAGACAAGGTTCTATAGTCTTGGGTAGCAACCAGTTTAGGAGAAGGTAACACTGAATTTAAAAACTGGCCTGGAGAGGTTTGGGGCTCCCTCAGGGTCTCTTTCCTAAGAAACAAAACTTCTACTGTGGCTGCAGTACGGGTGGTGCCCCTACGACCCTGATCGGTCACAGGATTCGTGATCACGATCAAAGTATTGTAAATAATGATAATAACCCATCCCAGACATTATTCCTTGTTTCTGCGATTCTGCGTGAAAGTCCTTTATCAAGATTTAAACCAGCACTTTATCTCCATCAGTTCTTTGTCAGAGGAAATCTGTAGGTTTTGTTTATTATCAGCTCTTAAGACAAAGCAAGATAGTCACAGAATATTTTCACTTTTGAAAAGAAAAACATGAAACCCCAAAGCTGCATCTTTGGTCAACTGGAAGGGTTCCATTCTTCAGAATGTCTATGGTAATCGAGATATTAGCCATTTCCATACAGGAAATATTGGACATTCATTGATAGAACAGTTAGTATTTCTTAAATCGATTTTTCATGAAATTGGACTTTTCAAGTCCAATAACTGTTATAGCTCTTTCTAGCATTGATGGAAGTTTACTTCCAAACTGTTTTTGGTAGTGTGGAAAGTTAGCATCTTGATTATGTTATTATACATACTAGGTACATGAGATATTCATTTTAGTTGTTGCTGCTGTTGGAAGTCTTTAAGTGATGTGTTTTTGTATTATTTCTCAAGGTTCTTTGCTTGTGTGTCTGTAATGTCAATCTATAGGGTCTAATGAATGATTGTCTTCTGTTTCTCACTTCTGGTGTCCTCTGCATAGCCATGTCCATGATTTTTTACGTGCAGTGTTTTCTAGTTGCTCCTCCCACTTTTATTTCTGTGCTACATTATTCAATTCTTCCTTGTTTGTTTGTTTGTCTCTTTTTTAATTTCTTGTTGCACATGTTCTTTTAATATGTTCGTTGCATTGTTGTATGCATATATATAATTCCATTTTGACCTTTTGGACAGTGCCTTCGAGGCCGAAGAAATTCACGGCTGCAGTTTTAACTTTTCCCATCGCCATCTGTATAATCGTTAGGAGGTGCCAATCGGACACAGAACTTCCTCCTATCTTCAAATATTCGGCCAGAGACACCATAGCCCTTGAGCTTATGAAGAAGGCCATGAGAAATAGATGTTCCCTCAGAGAGTCCCTGTGCTTTGAACACCTATTAGGGTTTAAGCTCAACCCGGGCCTCAAGTGAAAATCGTACGTACCATCCATCGCTAAAGATGCTGTAAAAATGGTTAGTTCCTTGTATTATACCAGCAAGTACCTGAACCCACCCCCTACTATTCTATATTTTTACAAGAGCCTGATCAGACAGAAAATGGAGTACTGCTGCCATATATGGACAGGAGCTGTCCATTCTTCATTTTCCAATCACCGGATTTTTTCAGATGTATGGAAATTTGGATAATCTACAGAGAATCATGACTCTAGTTGGGTAGACTGTTCTCGTTTCATTCTTCATGTTTAGGAATATCTCATCTTGTTCTTATTTTTAGAACGGTTCAGTTATTGCTCTCCTTGTTTTGACTGGATGCAACTACACACCGTCCAACCCAAGGACTGAACTCACAATTACTAAGTTACCAATTTCTAAGACAAACACTTTAATTCTTCTTTCTTTTCTTTTTATGTGCCATGTCCTTTCAGGACGTAGACGATCATGGCTCTCCAACCCCCTCTATCCCTTAAAGCTCTCAACAAGTTCCTTCCCTCTGCTTGCTCCCCCAGACCACGTTCTGTCATCCACTTGCTTAAGCCCGCCGGGTATGTCACACGTTGTTTTTCCTTGTCTCTCTTTCCCTCTATTCGACTCGTGAGTATCAGATTCTCCAGGCCTTCCTTTCTCATTATGTGTCCCAGAAACATCAGCTGCTTCTTCCAGATATTAAGTATAAGCTTCCTCCTTGATAGCAACCTCTCGAAGACCTCATCGTTGCTCGCACGCTCGGTCCATGATATCCTTAGCATCCTTCTGTAGAACCACATCTCTGTCGCCTCGAGTCTCTTCTTCATCTTTGAGGAAATCGTCCAACAGTCCTCGACGTAAAGAAGGACAGATGCCACGTAACAGTTCAGTATTCTTTTCTTTGTTACCAAAGAATTCTACCTGTCTCGCAGTACTCTGCCCAGCTTTTGGAATGCGTCCTTAGCCATCCCAATACGTCTACGGATCTCAGTGTCGCACTGACCGTTCTCTGTCAAGACGCTTCCCAGATATTTAAACTTCCGCGTCTGATTGATTCTAGTGTTCCCGACCTTCACATCGCATTTCAGGCTCATCCTCTTACTAATGACCATGCACTCTGTCTTCTTGTAGTTTATGCTTAGTCCCTTCTTCTCACTCTCCGTCGCTACCTTCAGTAGAAGATTTTGTAATTTCATTTCCGTGTCTGCTATCAGTACTGTGTCATCTGCGTATCTTATGTTGTTAAGATTGTGACCGTCAATGCTGAATCCCGGTAAGATTTTCAAAGCTATTTTTATTCGGTGACATGACTAGGTCGGGCAGTGTGTACTTGGACTCAGTGGAAACTAAGCAGTACTAAAAGTAAAAACTAGACAAGCTATCCCTAGACATGAAGAGCATAATGAGAACAGTCTATCCCCATAGATTAAATAAAGGGTTCAGTTCGGGTTTCCCTGTAGGTTACTCGGGTAGCCAAACGCCCGTGGAAAGCCGGTTCCCCAATCACTACAGCCATAACCTCTTCAAACCTAGGGTCAGCTGTTATCCGTCCTACATATCCTCATAATCTGCACTTTTTACCTCCTTCAAACACTGGTTCTCGTTTGATCACCAATGTTAAGCAGTGTCTAGCTCGGTCAGTACTTAGATGAGGGACCGCTTGGGAACACCGGTTACTGTAAACAACCTCCTACAATCTGAAATGTGTTTCGGCTTTAAATAACTGACAAGAAATAAATCAGTCAATCTTTACTCTTGCATCCATAATAAAATACATTCAGTAACCTTCTAACTTGAGTGGCTCTTGGGACTTGTGTCGGATGAACAATAGTGTAAAAAAAAAATTCAGCTAAATTTAAATAGTCTAGTTTGGATTTGTTTCCCTCGTAAAACCGAGCCGTTTTGCCTTGTAACAGATTTCCATGAATAAAATATCAACTCTGATAACAGATACCTGGCATTGAAAAATGAAATATTAACACCAGCTATCAACTTTCTTTTTGTCAGAGGCGGAGAAAACAAAACAAGAAAGCTCTTTGCTCAAAAGATCAACATGAATTAAATATTCAAATTTTATTCATGAAACTACACTTGTCAGTCAAGACATTTGAAAAAAAAAAACAATAAATAGAAAGAAAAGAAATGAGAAATAATTTCATCAAATATATTCATAAATTCCAACATCAATTTCCTGATAACAATGGTGTCAACGAAAAAAAACACAAACAGGGGTCTTTGTATTTCCCCCGCTAAAGAACTTTAATTAAAATAATACCTTCTCTATAAGTGAATATGATCAAAATCTTTTCCTTCTCAGTCTATGTGTTTAAAAATGACTTCTGATGTGTCAAGGTTGTGTTTGCCTTGTAAGCGATTGGGTTAACAAGTTTTTCTGATTATTTGTTGGCAGAAGATAGGTCTTCAGGGTATCAATAAACAGTCGAAGCCTTCGACAACATCTCATCTTTTGCTACAAATCAGCCATGTTTATTTACTGATTACATATATACCGTATATGCTCGTGTAACAGGCGATCTCGAGTATCGTGCGATCCCAAAATTTTCACTTATAAAAAATGATTTTATTATGTATCTCGTGTATCATGCGAGTTCCTTTTTTGAGAGACCAAATTACAATAGACTAACCCCTTTTCCTCTATCTCTTTATGCCAACTTCTAGTTAAATAAGTTAAAAAAGTAAAAGACAATGATAAAAGTATCGTTACTGACGCTATACACGTTGCGTAAACGCGTACAGCCATAAACAACCGAACGAGAAGCAACTAAACGTGTTATTGTAGTGAACAAACCAAGATCTAGATTTAAAATTCATTGACTCATTGATTTTGTTAAAAATTAAGAAGACTCGAATTTACAAACTTTGTTTAACACACACGCAAAAGCGAATCCAAAAAAAATTGTTAAATTTCACACCTTGATGCGGCCAATAGAAAATTAGGAAACATTTAAAAACCAAATTAAAATAATCTTCAACTCTTAGAAACAAATTCTTTTACGGACCTTTTCGCGAGCCGACGCGAAGTTTTTTCGTCGTCCAATGGTAAGGCCCGAATCATATCCAGGAGTGAATTCCAACAAACAAATTCCAAAATGTTTTTATTATAATCTCTTATAATAAAAATATAATAATAATAATATATTGCTCTACTTTGTATTGAGCCATTTTTTAAAAGTAAATTCTACGAACAGTGGATTTTTACTCCATCTTCTCTGTCTCTCATATATATATATATATATATATATATATATATATATATATATATATATATATATATATTTTCTTACCTAGTCGATGGAACAGTATAGATTACGCCTTATTTCCTGTTTGTGTTTCCGGTTCCTTCTAAAGTATATTTTCACTCTCTTTCACTCGCAGTGGCCTCTTTGTGTCTTAGGGGCGTTATCACATTCCTAGGGGTGAATTGATTAATACATACATATATATATATATATATATATATATATATATATATATGTATGTGTGTGTGTATGTGTGTGTGTGTATTAAGCTACAATTCTCCATGATTTTCTCTCGTATATTCATATCTGCTCAATGCGTATCCAAATGTAAACAAATGACGTCACACATTATGAAATGGACAATGTCCGACAATTATTTAAAGACATTTTTTATGTTTAAAAGTTCTTTTTTATATTGATACAAATATTTAAGTAAATGCTCTGTTTATAATAAACAGTATTAACAACATTTACTTAATATTTACTTAAATAATATATAACTTTATGAATAATATATATTAAGTATACTATTGTTTGAAGCCAAAATATTTTTTCGATGAAAAATGAATTTTTAGAAAAATTGTTTTCCTTTTTTTCCAATTTTATATACAAAATGTGATAAATTTGTTAAATATTTTAAAATTTAAAATTGGAAACGCTGTTATTAAAATATATATTTTTACAAATCATAAATTTGAAAGCTTATTACAAACTGTGACACCATGGTATTTTAAAAATATTTCTTAATATGCAAAAATGTTTTAAAAAATTTTCTCCAAAACTATGGATGCACGGTTCAGAAATAATCGATCACGTATTTTAAGAGAAAGGCCTTAAGAAATCACTTTGCTTTCCTTCTGGCGTGCACGTATCAAATTCTCTGACTGACCATTATCGTCGCATTTTCGAATTTTTTAATTTTTTTCTCTTAAATATTAAGTAATGTTTGCTTCCAATTACACAAGTTAACTTTAAATTTTCTAATTTTCCTAAAATTACTTTTCAAAAAGTATACTTGAATTTTGCAAGATTTTATAAACGGGAAATTTCACTTTTGTTTATAAAGTTGTCAAAAATAGTTGACATGAGCGATTTTATGGCAATTTTGCTGACTAAAAAAAAACAAGATTTTTAACTGAAATTTCGGATGTGCTAAGAAGAATTTTAAAAAAGTAAAAAAATAATCAAAAAATACTTTGGTCCTTCCTCTTAATAACATAAACATTTAGACGATAAATTTTTTTTATCAGAGTATGATTTTTTTAGCGAAGTATTGAAAGTCTTTATTACATATGTGTATGTGTGTATGCGTGTAAAATCCCGAACAAGAAGAGAAAATGAAAAGGCAAACACCTACCTTCGCAGTAACGTAATGTTCTTAATGATGAAATTACATATACAGAGCAAAAAAAACGTTTCACAATGGCAGCATTTAACAAATGACATCTCGAGTTGTTGCTCAAGTTTCACGCTCTCGCCATCTTCAGACGACTAGAACGTCTATGAAATTTTAATGATATATATATATATATATATATATATATATATATATATAATGTAATGTATGACAAAGTGGGAAAAGGTTTTTTTATGACGTTTTTTGTCCTTTAGATCTTCACAGAATTAAATTTGTTATTTTGGTGCGATTACACATGCGCACGAACCAGGGATGCTGGGAATCTTAGGTTTCATTTTTTTTTTAATTTTATCTATCCGATTTCATTTAAATTTTATTTCTTCTTTTCATCACTTTTGCTAGTAGATATCCCCAACTGGGATAATAGAATTTCCGCCCGAAATGGTGAAATGTTGTAAGAGCCCGGGCACAAAATTTACTTGAACTTATTTATGAACTTGAGATTAAGGCACTCTCTAGACATTTTCGTTGTAGTAAATTGCTTTATTTTTTCTTTTGAGCAGAGTAGCATTTTTATGTTAAAATTGTGGCTAAACTTTTTACGGTGGGCAAACAACGCAGTTGATGCATTGTTTTGTAAAATGTCTCTATCTAAACTCTATCTACACATTTGTTACTACTACATCTAAAACAACAAAAGACTTAGTCAATACAAAACAAAAGACTTAGTCAATACAAAACAAAATAATAAGATAAAACTTAAAGGAAGACTTTAGTCGAACGCCTGTAATAATTGTCACAAAGATACATAGGAGAAACCTCAAAGAACCTAAATGAAATATTATATGAACACAAAAGAGTCATTATACAAAATAACACACCATACATATATATGTGTGTGTGTGTGTGTGTGCGCGCGCGCGCGTGTGTGTGTGCGCGCGCGCGTGTGTGTGTATAATTGAATTTTAAATAATTATATTAGATAACATATAACATTGTTTTTAAAAGTGTTCCATATGAAAAACAGAGACAATACTAAATATATTAAGAGATAATTTGCTCATAAAAACATTAATTGAAAAATTCAAGGAAACTGTCAATGTCTTTTATAGATAGATAGATAGATAGATAGATAGATAGATAGATAGATAGATAGATTAACTTAATCTAGATTTCAAAATGGTATATGTTGGGCTATGGCCTCTAGGTGTAAAATCGAAATAGTGTGAAACACAGACATTCGCATTTATGTGTATAGATAGATAGATAGATAGATATGAAAATACTGAGATAGATAGATAGATAGATAGATAGATAGATATATATATATTAAAAGCTGGATAGAACAATTACGACTGAGTAGTGAGTTCGATCTTCACTGGGTGCCCCATACTTTCGGCCTTGTGCCAAATCTAAGCTACACTTGGAAAATCACTAGATATTAAAAGACTGAAATAGATAGATAGATAGATAGATAGATAGATAGATAGATAGATAGATAGATAGATAGATAGAGATAACGTGGAAAAGCTATAAACCACAGGTTTCACGAACGTCTGTTGGTTTCCGTCACTTTAGATCAAAATGAAAAGACAAATCTCTGCATAAGAAAAATACGTTAAGAGATTTGAGGATATTTTCAAAAATGCCAACGCATTTTCCTCCCGAGCTCTGTTCTGCCATTCACAAACACAAACTCGTTTGGTAGTTTCTCTCTGCCTCCCTTGTATTCAATATACCCTACCAGTGTCATATTCTCCAAGCCATCTTTTCCCATTATTTGTCCTAGAAATATCAACTCTTTCTGATTTAAGTGCCCATTTAGTTCCATTTGCCTTAAAACTTACTTATTGCTCACACAATCTGCCCATATTATTCTCAGAATGCTTCTACAGAACCACATCTCTGCCGTCTGGAATATCGTTTTCATCTTTGATGAAATTCTCCAGCATTGACTGCCATATATCAGGATTTATATTACATAACAGTTCAGGGTTCTTTTCTTTATATCTTAAAAAAAAAAATCCTGTTTCTTATTACTTTGTTTAGCTTTTGGAAGGTGTCTTTCACTATTCCAATGTACCTTCGGTGTCAATTTCCATCCTCTGCTATAAAACTTCCCAGATAGATTCCTATGCTTGCTTCATTCTGACATCTCCAGATCATAGCACGCATAACCCTGATGATCTGGTTAATATCAAAACATTCTGTATTACTAACGTCTATGCATTCTGAATTGCTAATATCTTTGTTTAGCCTTTGAAAGGCATCTTTCGCTATTTCCATGTGGCATCGGATTTAGGTGTGACATTATCCATCATCTGTTATAACACCTCCCAGTTAGTTAAACGGCTGCACTTGCTTCATTCTGACAGGTCCAATTCGTATCTACACAAAACCCAGGCAATCTGGCTATGGTCCGTACACTGTGTATTGCTAGTCTCCATACATTCTGTATTGGGAATACCTATACATTCTCTTTCTAACGTCGATACATTCTATATTTCTAATATCGATATATATTCATGGATGGCCATTGTTCATACATTCTATATTGCTAACGTCCATCTACTGTATATTGGTAATCTCAATGTTTTGTGTTGCTAACACCTATAAATGCTATATTGCTAATGCCCATAGATTCTGTATTGCTAATGTTCATACATTCCGTACTGCTAACATCCATATAGTCTGTATTTCTAACATCCATGCATTCTATATTGCTAAATCCTATATATTCTATATTGATAATGTGTATACATTCTATATTGCTACGTCCATATATTTTGTATTTTAATGTGCATACATTCTATATTGCTAATGTTCATATATTATGTATTTTAATGTGCATATATTCTAACGTTTATGCATTCTGTATTGTTAACGTTCATGTATTCTGCATTGCCAACGTCTATATGTTATGTATTTCTAATGTTCATACTGTCTGTTGCTAATGTCCATGTATTATGTATTGCTCACGTTCATGTCTTCTGTAATGCTAACGCCTATACATCCTATATTTCTAATGCCTGTATATTCTGTATTGCTAACGTTCATACATTCTGTCTTCTCAATTCCAATCTTAAAATAATATCACAATAATAAGCCGTTCAGTGTGACTCTCTCCGCGCGAATCAATTGTTACATGTGTGTTAATAATTGCACTCTTTTTAATGAAACACTTACCGAAAGATGAACGTCGATTTTTCCTTTTCTGTTTCTGCCATTTTCACGATTGGAACGCTGCACCTTTTCGTTTCATCTTTTCGCCAATTGTAATGCTTAGCAATGCTGTCATGTTGCAAAGCAGATATCAGGTATGTCCTTCGCATGCCAACGTTGGGATCAAGAGGGGGCAATGACATTGCCTCAAAGCGCCCAACCTGTTCAAAATGAGAAATTGATCAAATGACACGTCTTGCGGATCGATAAATCACAATCGAGTTACCAAAAAAAATAATTACTACTCCATCCAAATTGTAATGTCTCCATGAAAATTTTTATCGCTATTTCCATGGCAGATTTTCAATGAGAAATATTCCTGGGTTCCATCTGTCCAGACTTTCACAGATAAAACCATCCATGTTATGTACACAGAGTCGACTCATCGCCATGTCCTTCATATTTCATTAGTAAAGAGAAGGTTCCAATCAGAAACTTTATTTCCTAGAACTTTTATGGTTGGTTTGTTTTGTTTTACGGCATATCAACCTCAATGGGTTACTTAATGCCGACAATTATTTTATTGCTGGAAATACTTTTTTATTTATGTTCAAAATGTATTGCTGGTAATAATTTTTTTTTTTTTTTTTGAAAAATTCACTGATGGTAATAATATTTTACAAAAATATATTGCTGGTACTGAAATCTATTTTTACACTTTGATAGTGTTTTGATCCCAGTTTGGGGGTTAACTATTTGTGTATAGCTGGGACCCTAACAGGTGCTACCACTCCGGGTCAGGATAGACCTGGGAACACCACCAATTGAGAGATGGTTCCTCACTTTTCAAAACCTTCTGATCAGAGGATTTGCTGTTGGATATAGGATGCGGATGTAGTTTATCGTCATACACAGGATGGTAGAGGTTTTACATTGCGGAACAGACCCCGAAAAGGATGCTTCACCTATCTCTAGGATTTTAACATTTTCAAGTCTAGCGTCAACCATTATCTACCCTACATATCTTCATAATATGAACCTTTTATTCCCTCTTTGTACGCCATTTCAACAATCTTATCCAGTCGCCCTCTACCTTCAGTGGCTCTTGGGCCTTGTATTGGGTGAACAATAGTATTTGTTAGTTTTGTTTTGTTTTACAGCATATCAACCTCAATGGGTTATTTAATGCCGACAAGATTTTTATTGCTGGTAATATTTTTTTTTCAAAAATGTATTGCTGGCAATATATTTCTTTTTCAAAAATGTATTGCTGGTAATTATTTTCTTCAAAAATGTATTGCTGTTTTTATATTTTCATTGTGTTTTGACTCCAGTATTTTTATACTTTCAGAGAGTTTCAATTTCGTTGGTGGGGGTAACTATTTGCCCATAACTGGGACCCTAACGGGTGCTACCACCCGCGTCAGGGTTGACCTGGTAACACCAGCAATTAAGAGGTGACTCCACGCTCCTCAAACCCTCCCTTGCTGCCGGCTGTAGTTTATCGTCATACCCAGGACACACAAAAGTATTTAAACAAAGAGAATATTGTTACATATCACAGATAAGGATTAAACCGACTGTTTCTATTACAGGAATGGCTCCAAAAGTTTTTCCATTCACGGCGCCATTAGTGTATCAGGATTTTTTTTATGGCGCCCGAACTTAAAAAGTGCTACATTTATATTTACATGTACTTCCATTTAAATTACTACATTTATGTTGTTAGTGTAGGTTAGATTAGTTGAACCATTCTTACTATGAGAAGGACTAGAGCCTAAAAAGTATTTATTATCAACCAAGTAGATTCCCTTTGGTGGGTGTGCTTTAATGAATAACGGTTCTGAATGAGAAATCGGAGAAACGAGATTAAATTCCAGTTACATTCACTTGCATACCCTTAGAAAAATTGTGAACCTATCACCTCCCCCCAATCTATTGGTTAAACAGTTGGACTTGTATTTGGAAAAATTACTGTTATTCTCAAAAATTGTTATTGTAATTTTCACTCGCAAAAAAAAAAGAATAATTCATATAATCCCCAAAATATTTTCTGGTTTTAAACAACCAATGAAGTGCTGATAAGCGGTAGAAAAAAAAAAACAGTTCGATAAATCTTTCGTGGACTATAGGGCCTTTTGTTGGGGTTTCTGTAGTTAGTAGGGTTTTACGGAGTGAATATCCCCACGCCTAGCCAAGCTTTGAATTTGGAGTTATCCCCCTCCAAAGCAAAAGAGCACAGTCTGTAATTAAACCCCTGCTTGGTGGGGATAGAGATCGAGAAGGCAATGAGGAATCAATTACACTATCTTTCACAAGAACGCATTGCAATTCATAGATAATAATGGTCTGGTTTGGTTGTTTTTCTTTGATAGTATTTCAGCCCGTTTTGGTTATTTAATGCTAAAATATGAATATGAAAATTAAAACTTTTTAATTAATTCATGAGAATGACATTATTTCATGATTAAATTAATAATTATTTAGCGGCATCTATTTACCAAATAATCTTTCGAAATCAAATGAAGAGTGAATACTTGTTTCTCCTTACAAAAAAATGAGATCAATCATAGTATTTTTGTTTTGTTTTTTTGTTGTTGTTGTTTTTTTGTTGTTGTTGTTGTTTTTTTGACAATGTATGTCATTACTGCAATTTCACTACATGTACCGTTTATCATTTTGCTATAAAAATGTATTGTTGGTTATTTCAGATGATATATATATATATATAGAGAGAGAGAGAGAGAGAGAGACAGACAGACAGGTAGAGACAGAGACAAAGTAAGAGAGAGAGAGAGAGAGAGAGAGAGAGAGAGAGAGAGTCTGATTCGCTACCTCTTCGTCACCGAGGCCCGTTGGAACAGTTGGTATGTTGTTTGCTTGACAACCTAACTGTCAGGGTTTCAATTCTCGGTAGTGGATGCGCACTGCTGATGAGTCCCAAATATAGGACGAAACGGCCGTCCAGTGCTTTCTGCATTCTATTGAGGTTTCTTTCATACTCAATTACTTAATTATATATATATATATATGTGTGTGTGTGTGTGTGTGTGTGTGTGTGTGTGTGTGTGTGTGAGCCCTCTGGCTGCTGGCGTTTAAATACACCGTATATAATACATTAAAATTCCCCTTTCTCTCTGCCGTGCGCCGATAGCTTAGGTGTAGGATCTCTGACTGATGCCAAATCGGTCAGGTTACGATTCGATACCGGCTTGAAGCAATGTCTGGCCCCTTTGATGTGCTACAGCAACAGACCTGCATGTGGATGACTATATATATATATATATATATATATATATATATATATATATATATGAGCAACAATTGCTCTTTCAATCATGTTTTCAAGTTGGTGGGCATCGTGTGGAGTTTAGGCGTAAGAAAATGTGCATCGGTTATGCTTTGACCGCGAGAGAAATGTACCCTACCGAGTCAACTTGCTCAAGTCAATAACCTCTGCAGAAATCCTATGACCACACTCGGTTATGGGACTGATGATTATGATGAGACATTTTGTGTCTATTGATTCTGTTGAGCTTCCACTCGAAATTACGAATTATCCTTCTTGATAGCGTCAGTTCCAGATATACGAAATTTCTAAGACTTTTATAATGGCTGTGTCCAACCTTTCAATTTTTGGTAACTGATGAGAATTAAAAGTTTGGGCATTTTTACAAAGATGAGAAAACTTAATATATATATATATATATATATATATATATATATATATATATAATTGATTTAAAATATGTTTTTTTCGCTACACAGTTCTAACCATGTTTCAAAAATAGAAGCTAAAAAGCCCCGAATTTAATTTTGTAATTAAATTAAAGACATTAGTTCCATTTCATCCTCAAGCGAATTTTGGAGTAACTTTTAAAATTACTGGGTTTTAAAGACTTCCTCACAAGACGCTAATTTTAGGGTAAAATTAGCGTCTTGTGAGGAAGCAAAAAAAACAACAGTGTCAGCGAAACGCGGCTTTAATAAATTTCCCTCTTTTTCTCATCATCTTCACTATTGTTTTGGATACTATTATGCATCCTACACCCCATTTATATATATATATATATATATATATATATATATATATATATAGCTATAGAGTTGGATCAATCGAACGACCAGATATAAGCATCTATATATGCGCGTGTTGGCGTGCATACACAAGTAAGCATATAAATAATCATCAAATTTATTCAAGATATGTAAACATAACAGCGCTCGATGTGGTTAGACAGACCAAATATATATTTTAATAAATATACATATACATATACCTACGTTTTGGTGTGCGACTTAAGTTTTACTGGTTTTCCAGCTCATCGGGCACAAAGTATATTTTATGATTTTACACAGATGTCACATGAAAGGAATGCTGCTTTATAGTCTCAAAATAAAATTTTACAAAAGGTGCAGGAAATGAGCTGCAGGTAGGGTTCATAGAAACGTGTCCAGTTCGCCGGGCATTGTGCACATGCCACAGATGAACTTGTGTCATCATTTATACTCTGGAGGCACCCATCATCTGACAATCGATCACGCAAGTTAACCTTTCCAGATAGGATAAACCGAGACACATTGATCCCTAAGGAAGATCTTTTAGGTGCTATGACAGATAGGGAATACTGGAGAGGTGTAGTGAGTTCAATCTCGGCTGAGGCCGCAAGATGATGATGACGAGGGTTCATTTATTAAAAAAAAAAAAAAAGAAAAAAAAGAGAGAGAAATTTAAAAAATAAAATAAATAAATAAAAAATACAAAACATTATTATTGGAGACACTACTTTGGGTCTGATATAATAACGCTTGCAAGGTTAAAGGGATATAAGCGGGTATGAAACATAAACTTAATAAAAGTAAAAAAGTATTCTACGAGAAAAGATTTTCTGTGCCTACAGGCGATCATGAATTCGTTTCGCTTATTAAGTAGATTTACATTGTTAATATTTTTGAGGATGAATTTTTTTTTTCTAATATACATCGGTTGCATCGCCTCACCCTGTTGGAAAATGGTTTGGTCTGGGCTACGAATTGCCAGTTTGAATGAGGTGTGTAGGCATCACAAGCAATAGCCACGGAGATCGACGAAAAGACACACAAACGATTGCTCGTAAATGCTAGGGGAAAGTGGACTACTTTTACTAATGAAAGAATGAAAGAAAGACAAAACTGTATATGAAGGGGAATGTCTTGAGATCTC